GAATACATATATTAAGTGTGAATTTTCCTGAACAGATTGATTTTGGTGGGAAGTGTTCCTGCCCCTGGGATGGAACAAGATGATCTTTAAGCTCCCTCTCGACCAAAACCAATCTGGGATTTTGTGATTCTGCTCACTTCAGGCCATGGCAGATGATGTGAGGAGGTTAAAGGATGAGAAGCCACCTTCTTCCCACTTCATTCCTCCCCAGCCTGCTCCTCAGGGATTTCTCCCTGCTGCTGGAGTGTGGCTGCTCCCAGCTCAACAAAGGGACAAAGCTGGGACTGAATCCACACAGAATTTGCATCACAAGCTGCAGCTGCTTCCCCCAACAAACACCCCTGTGTCCATGGGCTGTCACTCCCTCCAACACCCTGGCAGAGAATGTCAGCTCACCACGGCTGCCCTGGGACCAGCCCAAGCTCAAACACTCCAAAAACAAGCAGGGAAAAACCCTCTGCCATGCTCCAGGAGTGAGGAATTACTGACAGCCTTCACAGGCTCCTTCTCCAGGAGCTGAGGGGTTTGGATCAGGCCTGAAGGTGCAACAGAGCTGGAAACACATTAATTCCTTTTCATCTCCCAATCTCCAGCTGTCTCCTTTCCAGCTTTGGGCAGTGTCAGGCATTTCTGGTCCTGTGCCCTCCCATCTGTTCCCCTGGCTTACAGAGGGGACAGGGATCGGGCTGGGAGGGAGATGTTTATTAAATGACAAACTTGGCTACGGCAGGATGGAAAAACAATCCTGGCACGTGGGAACGAGCCCAGGTCAAACGGGAGAGCTTACTGTCAAGGAAGGAAGAGGAGCAGCCTTCAAGGACTCAAAGATGTCACAGGATTATACCTGGAGGAGAGGGTCAGCAGCTTAAAACATGACTCCAGCCCCCAAGGGGACCTTAGAGCCCCTCCCAGTGCCTAAGGGGGCTCCAGGAGAGGCACTGGGGATAAGGGGTGGAGGCACAGGACACAGGGAATGGCTTCCCACTGCCAGAGGGCAGAGATGGATGGGATATCGGGAACTCTTGGCTATGAGGGTGGGCAGGCCCTGGCACAGGGTGCCCAGAGAAGCTGTGGCTGCCCCTGGATCCCTGGAAGTGTTCAAGGACAGGGTTTGGAGCAGCCTGGGATAGTGGGAGGTGTCCCTGCCGTGCCAGGGGATTGGAATGGGATGGGCCTTTAAGGTCCCTTCTAATCCAAACCATTCTGGGGTCCAGTGAAAAATATGTACTTGCCCCTTCCCTGCTCAAGTCCTCTCACCTCCTCATCACCCCATCCTGCCCAGCAGCTTCCCTCTGCTCCCCATCAACCCAGACCTGAATATTCAGCTTTTAGGCCATTTCCTCTGTCACCTCTTTCTCATCAATGGAAAATTAACACCCTAGGGCTGGAAACAGCCAGAACCCTGTACCACTGACACTTGCAGGATTGCCAGAGATGTGTGAAAATACCACAGATGTGTGAACCAGCTCTGTGTCACTGCTGGGAAACCTTAAGCCCATGGACAAGGGACAGTCTAGCACAGCACTGATGGAATGACCTGGTTCACGTTTCCACTGTCATAATTCCAAGGCAGAGCCAGACAAGGTGGTTAAGGTCACTGTAGGTGACCTGAAGTGAAACCAAATCCAGCAGATGGGCAGCCTAAACTCTTGTGGGGGCATAAATTGCTTGTGCCACATCACTTTGGCTTGGGAATCCTGCAGTGGAATCCATGGGCTGGGATCACCTCTGATCCCAGCTGCTTTCCCTGACACTTTTCCTCAGACAGATCTCAGCTGCCAAGATTTACCACTGAGGAAGCTGAGCTTCCTCAAGGGAGGGTGCTGTGGGGCGGGATTGAAGAGTCACAAGACAAGGATGAACTGCTGTCCTACTGGAATTATGGACTGCACAGCCAGCTGGTACCAGCTCCATCATCCATGGGCTTCCCTGGACTCAGGAGAAACACCACCAGCCTGGACTTTCATGCCAGTGATGCAAAATCTACACTTTGTCTTCTCCAAGTATCATCACAGAATCCCAGAATGACGTGGATTGTAAGGGACCTTAAAAACCAAAGGTCCACTCTTGCCATGAGCAGGGACAACTTCCACTATCCAGGCTGCTCCAAGCTCCACCCAACCTGGCCTTGGACACCTCCAGGAATCCAGAGGCAACCACAGCTTCTCTGGGAATTCTGTGCCAGTGTCTCCCCAGAAATAAATTACCCTGCTGCTCCCTGTTCATTTACCCCATTCCATCCTCTCCCAGCGTGCAGAGCCCTCAGCTGGTAAGTTTTATCTCCCTAGGTAGGTGTTCCTAAACCAGGAGCATTCAGGATGCTCCTAAATGGAGCCACTTCAAGCTCTCCTGTGCGCATTGACACACATCAGGCCCTTCTTTGCAGCAGGACACTCACCCCACACCCCACTGGCACAGATTTTTGGCAGGATTCTCACCTGCCTTCCATGCCCTTCCGGCAGCACGTAACCAGTGAGCTGCTCTCCCAAATTTCCTGGCAGGGAGGACACAAACCAGACCCTAAATCCATGTGGAGCTGACTCAATCCCTTAGCTGCAGTAGGATGGACAGGCTGAAGCTCTCTCTCCAGCTCACCTGATGTCCCAGCACAAATATCCCTCCTGCTGCTGCTCCAAAATGCAAGGCAGAGAGGAACACTGATGGCTCTTCCTGCATTTTTGTCCATGCAAACAAATCCAAATCCTTTAGGTGATTCAGAAAAATTGACAGAGTCCTTAAGGTTGGAAAAGCCCTCTGAGATCATCATATCCAACCATTCCCCAAAGGGGAATGGCTTCCCACTGCCAGAGAGCAGGGATGGATGGAATATTGGCAAGGAATTCCTGGCTGGGAGGGTGGTGAGGGGCTGAGACAGAATTCCCAAAGAAGCTGTGGCTGCTCCTGGAGCCCTGGAAGTGTTCCAGGCCAGGTTGGATGGGGCTTGGAGCAGCCTGGAATGGTGGAAGGTGTCCCTGCCATGGCAGGAGTAGAACTGGATGAGTTTCAAGGTCCCTTCCAACCCAACTCATGATTCCTTGCCTGGAATTGTATTGACTTTTCATATTTTTCACTACACACTTCCCTTCCCTGCTCCACACTTTTCCTACACAGCCAACAAATTAATTATCACAAACCTATGAGAATTATCACAGGTTCATTATCATTACCAAATTTGCTGGCACAGAGCTCAACCCAACTCCTTTCAAATTTTCCAAAGACAAGTTCTTGGTCACAACTGATTTGAGCAGGGTGGTAGAGCTGCAATTCCCCAGCATTTGGATCTGGAATTACAGAGAGAGTGCTTCATCAGAGCTTTGGGATGAGCCTGCAATTATGGGACTGAAATAACCACTGGCCCTTTGCACTCACTCCATCTCCCTACTGCCTGCAGGGTCAGCTGTGGGAGCACCTTGAAGCACAGGGATCCTTTTCTGGGAACATCCAAGTGCATCCCAGCCCGTTGCCCAGTGTGCTTTGCCTGGATTTTTGCAGGATTTTTTGCCTAGATTTTTCATGCTCCCACACTGCCTTTTATCCCACAGATTCCAGAAGAGTTTCACTTTCATTTTCACTTCCAGGTCCAACTTCCCAGCAGCTAGGTCTCACTCGCTATCCAAGGCCGCAGGAGGGACACGCTGCAGCCGTTCTCTCTGCCCATGCCAGGAGAGGAGGGCTGTGGTTCCCGTGCACAGCAGACAGCCTGCAGCAGGGAATCATACAGCTTGCAAAAACCTCAAAGACCAACGAGTCCAACCAGCAATGCCAAGCCCACCACTAACCCCTGTCCCCAAGTGCCCCACGCACATGGTTCACCAACACTTCCAAGGATGATGAATCCACCACTTCCCTGAGGGCATCAGCTGGAATCACCACCTGCTGAACTCCACCACTTCCCTGCTGGAACCAGCATCACCCACTGCTGCTGCTGCTGCCCCATTCAGCCTGTCCTTGGGAACCAGCCCCGTCAAGTCCCTGGAAAGCAGCTGGCGCTGGATGCCCATCACTGAGCGGCTTAGGGCTGTCACCTACCTGCTGTCCCAAGCGTTCAGGCCCACGTCCTCATCCCTGCTCCGCGGTGCTGGCCCAGCGACCCGCCCCGAGGCGTCCCCGGGCCCCGGCTGTCCCTCGGGCCGGCGGCTCGGCTGGGAGAGCCGGGATGCCCGGAGCAGCGCGGCTGGGTCTGTGCCAGCCGGGGAAGGCGAGCCCTGAGCCGAGCGAGGCCTCTCGGAGCCCCGACCCGGAGCCGAGACCTCTTTGCAGTGCGAAGCTGTCCCTGCATCCACAGGGATGGCCGCCTGCATGGAACAGACGTGAGGGACACCCGGACATGGCCTGAAGCGCAGCGGGGATGATCCCGCAGCCCGACTCTGCTGCGGGGCTGCCCCGATCCCCCCGGCTCCTCCGGGGAGCCCCTCAGCGCTCCCCTCAGCGCCCCTCTCATCCCTTCACCGGCCCTCTCATCCCTTCGCCCTTCGCCCCTCGCTCCCCTCTCTCATCCTTCTCATCCCTTTCTCCCATCCCTTTCATCCATCCCACCCCATCCCGTCCCGTCCCTCTCTCTCACCCCTCGCCGCCTCTCAGCGAAGGAGGGAAGGAGGGATGGCGGGCGGGCGGCGTCGCCAACCCAAGAAGCAAAGCGGCGGCGCGGCGGGGGCGTCGCGCGGGTGATTGACAGGGGGTGTCGGCCAGTGGGCGCGGCGGGTGGGCGCGGCGGGGGGCGTGGCCAGAGGACGGCCAATGGGGAGCGCGCGCCGCCGCCCCTCAAATCAGCGGGCTCAGCCGGCTGTCCCCGGCACGGAGTTGTTTGGCGGCGGGCGGGCGGGCGGTGCAGCCGGGCGGGCGGGAGGGAGGAGGAGGAGGAGAGGAAGGAGAAGAAGAAGAAGAAGAAGAAGAAGAAGAGGGGGAAAGGGAAAAGGGGGGGGCGCTCCCCTTTGTTGCATGGGGGTGTCCAGCCGGGGCTGAGGGAAGGCAGGGAGGGGGTCGGTGCCTCCCGCTGCCCCATGGCCCTCGCTGAGGGGGCGGCCGTGCCCTACGCCGTGGAGCTGGGGCTCACCGTGCTCCACACGGCGCTCTACGCCGCGCTCTTCCTCTTCGCCTACCTGCAGCTCTGGCTGCTGCTCTACTACCGCGAGCGGCGGCTGAGTTACCACACGCTCTGCCTCTTCCTCTGCCTGCTCTGGGCAGCCCTCAGGACCACCCTGTTCTCCTTCTACCTGCAGAATTCCCTGCAGGCCCTCCGCCTCCAGCAGCCCTTCGCCCACTGGCTCCTGTACTGCCTGCCCGGCTGCCTCCTCTTCTCCAGCCTCTGCCTCCTCAACCTCTATTTCGCCGAGGTAAGTTTTTGCCTTTTGGGAAAAACCCCTCCAAAATTCCCTTTCCCAAACCTCCACCATGCGGGACAGCAGGGGCTGGAAGCTCCTCTTCAGCCGGCTCTCCAAACTTGGAGCGCCCTGGAGCCGAGGCTTTGGGCTGGGATGGGGATGAGAGCATCCCGGTGAGGGTGGGAGGCGATCCTGGGGGATCTGCCCTCGGTGGAGGCTTTGGGACAGCCTGCGGGGATGCAGGGCTGTGCCCTGAATCCCGGCTTGGAAAGAAGCACAGGGATTGTGTCCTGAATCCAGCCCTCGCTACAGACTTCGGGACAGGCTGGGGGGATGCAGGGGTTGTGCCCTGAATCTAAACTCGGGGGTGGGAGGCACAAGGATTGTGCCCTGAATCCAGGCTTGGGGACAAGCACGGGGATTGTGCCCTGAATCCAAGCTTGGGGGGCGGGGTGGGATTTGGGGGGGATGGTGTGAGCTAAAAGTGTTCCCAGAATCCCAGCATCAGGGATTTGGGGTGCAGGGCTGTAGCCTGACTGCAGACCCCAGCGTGGGGGGGTGGGGGGCAGGCACATGCCCTGAATTTGGGATTTGGGGGGTGCAGGGAGATGCCCTGCTCCCAGGTGAGGTTTTCCTCTTTGCGACCCAGACCCACGGCGGGGTGTTTGTGTGTGGGGGCATCACTTGAGGGACTGTTTTGCATATATATTTTATTTTTTTTTAATTGATTTCCCTTCTGCAAAGGGGACCAGAAAGTGGCAGCAGCAGGGGCTGCTCTGGCCTGGAGTGATGCCAACCATTACGTCACCAGCCAGAGCCTCTTCTGCTATTGTTGCTGCGCTCCCTCCTTCTCTCCATCGCTTCACTGCGAGCCGGGCTTGTTGTTCCGCAGCTTGTCAGACAAAAAAAAAACCCGAGATCCCTCACACAGCAGCCCGGGGCAACCGAGGGGGGCCCTTTCCCAGCACCAGCATCGCTGCTGGGACAGTGCGGAGCCGCTTGTTATTGTCACCGAGCTGTGTCCCTGCTTTTCTGGGTTTCCCCATCACTCGTGTTGTGATTTTTAGCCTCCTTTTCTTAGTCCTTCCACTTGCCTTTATCTCCTAAAGCCCTGGCTCTCCCCTCCCCATCCTCCTCCTGAATATTTTGTTTCTGCTCCAGTTTCTCGTGAGCAGCCCTCTGCTCGCCTGCCTCCCGGTTCGCTGCCTATTTATGAAACAAGTCACCACTTTTTCCTTCCAGCTTTGTTGTTGTTGTTGGGATTCTTTGCTCTGCAGCTCTCAGCTGTTCCCCAGCCTCACAAAGGAAACGCTAGCACACAGCGAAATCACTCCGTCGCTCCGATGTGTCACCCACAGGAGTTATGATTTCATTTTCCCCAGGACACCGACGTTCATGTGATACTCGGAGCAGTGGGGTTGTTCCACTGTTTTGGTTCTTTTCCCCCCCTCTCTTTCCCCCCCAATAAACACCTGGAGGTTTGGGGGTGAGCTGCCTGTTGCAAAAGCTGTCGGAGGTGTTGTTGATGGAGTGGCAGTGGAATAACAAATGGTGCATAGAGTGCACAAATCCATCTTGTCTGCTCGAGGGAGCCTGACCTCCTGACTGCTCCAGCCACGAGGGGTTTGCGTCCCTTGAAAGGCAGAGATTCTGTGCTCTGCTCCACAGAGCGGCTGGATTTCTGTTTTCCTCTAGGTCACTGGATTTGACAGCAGATTTGCCTCTCTGCAGGCTTGTTTAAAGGTCCTCTTAAAGTAAATCCAAATAGATTCCCAGGCTTCTCCTCCTCCCACGATATCTGTTTTTCAGTGAACTCTGTATATATATCCCACTTTTTCTCCTTGAAGACCTAGAGCCAAGGGAAATCCTGTCTGAGGAAATAAGAGCTCTGAATCTGGAGTGGGGAAGGATAAAGTGACTTATGAAAATGGGTCTGCTTGCTCAGCTCCAGGGAGGGCCTGACAATTCCCTGGAACAACCAGGAGGGGTATCCATCACTCCGTGGGGTTTTTGGGAAACCTTAGCAGGGAAGCTCCAGAGATTTGGAGAAAAAAATGGAAAGCCTCTGGAGCTTTTCTGGCTCCCATGATCTGGAGGTGACTGGTGTGTTTACTGGTGTGACTCCAGCAGACGTGCCCATCCATCCCCAGTTTTTAAGGGCCACTTGGCAGCAGCCTGTGGAAAGACACTGAGCTTCTGCTGTCCTGGGGGTGGCATCCTGATCCGAGATGTCCTCGGCTAAAAGCACGGGCTGCTGCTGTGCTGAGGGCCTGGCTCATTGTCCCTGTGCACAGAGCCTCCTTTGTGGAGATGCTGGAGAAATGGCATCTGGGGAAGAAAATGGCCTGTGCTGTTATTTGAGCTGATCTGGCTTGATTTACGGAGCTCCTCAGGCTGTGTAGAGGCTGAGGCTGGAATGGTGGAGGGGGAGAAGCTCCAGGAAACAGATACCCATGGAGAACTGGTATTACTTGACACTCCAGGCTGTTCAAGGGCTGAAATTCAAATTTGCTAAACTGCCTGGTGTTCCTCCTTTCCATGGGGACAGGCTGTCCTCTTCCTATCCCATCTTGGCCCCTGAGATTCCTGAGGGGATGCAGAGACCTGACAGAATGAGTGTGGGATGTGGATTTCTGTTTCATAGAGTCCCAGAATGGTTTGGGTTGGAGGGGACCTTAAAGCTCATCTCATTCCACCCCCTGCCATGGGCAGAAACACCTCCCATTGTCCCAGCTTGCTCCAGCCTGGTCTTGGACACTTCTGGGGATCCAGGGGCAGCCACAGCTGCTCTGGGCACCCTGTGTCAGGGCCTCAGCCAGGAATTCCTTCCAAATATTCCATTTATCCCTGCCCTCTGGCAGTGGGAAGCCATTCTTGTGTCCTTTCATTCCATGCTCTTGTCCTCTCCAGCTCTCATGTTGATACTTGGGATACTTTTCCCACCTGGAACATTCCTTTAGCTTGGGAGCATCTCTTCCTTTCTACTTCAGCTTGTACCAGGTGTCTTTTCCTGGGAATCTGGAGTTCACAGTCCCATCAGGTCAGAATTCCTCAAATCCACTCCCAGTCTTGCCTCAATGGCTCTGGTATCCAACCCAGGATGCTCCTTTGCCTTGCCTTTGGAATAGCTCCTGTGCTGCCAGCTGCTTGAATGATGGCACCTTCCCCAAGAGTCTGCCACTCCTGCTTGTCCCCAGGTCTTTGTCAGGAGCACTGTGGAAATGGAAATACATGGGGAGAGATCAGGATATTTAACCAGGAGAAAAGGAGGTTCAGGAGGGACCTTGTGGCTCTGCACAACTTCTTGACAGGAGGGGGCAGCCAGGGCTCTGCTCCCAGGGAACAGGGGACAAGAGGAAATGGCCTCAAGCTGTGCCAGGGGAGGTTTAAATGGGATATTAGGGAAAAATTTTCCATGGAAAGGGTTGTTAGGCATTGGAAGGAGCTGCCCAGGGAGGTTTGGAGTCCCCATCCCTGGAGGTATCCAAGGAATCCCTGGAGGTGGCACTCAGTGCTCTGGGCTTGTGACAAGGTGGGGATGGGGCACAGCTTGGACCTGATGGCCTTGGAGGTCTTCTCCAACCCAAATGATTCTGTGAAATGCAGCCACAACAACCTTGATCTTAAAGACCTTCTTGAGCCCTTGGCACTCCTGGTTGTCCTGGGAATCAGCAGCTGGCACAGGGATGAGTAAGGAATGCTGGCCTGGTGGGGCTGATGGTGTGGCCAGAGCCCTTCACCTGCCTGGGTTTCTCTAAGTGCTCCATCAGCCCCTTTCATCCCTTCCTGCTCTAATTGTGCTGGAGACAGGCATTGGGAGAGCATCCAGCCTGGGAGATGTTTGTCCTTACTGTCCTGGATTTTCCACCTTACTTACTTACTGTCCTTACTTTCCACCTTCTCAGATGGAAAACTGGGAAAATCTCCATCCTTCATTTCCCTCTTTCACCTTCCCAGTGTAGCAGACACCTGGCAGTGCCCTGTGCCTCAGAGGGACAGCTGGTGAGGGATCACTGAAACTCCAAACTGCTCCATCCCAGAGCTGATGATTCCCATGTTTCCCAGATGAACAGGTGGCCCTGCTGGGGACCAGCTATTCTAGGAAAGGACAGAGCATGCAATATTGCAGCCTGTGTTGATGATGGCATGGAATGATCTGGATATTAATATGAGGATGGTGAGAGATCCTCATGGAGAGTTGCAGCTTTTCTTCTGTGGATTGAAGCGGGGGCTTGCACACTTGGTACAAGGTGTGATCCCAAAACAGTCTCTGCTGTGCTCCTGTTATCTCACGTGGTGAGGGAAGGGATCTGGCTGGGGATGCTCCTGCAGCTGAGCTGTGTTGGTGCAGGGCAGGTTTGTGTCTTGTATCTGCAGAGCCCAAATCCGTGTTGTCTTTATGAAGCAAACAAGAATTTGATTGCAGTGGACAGCAACAAGTTCCTGGATCTTTCAGATCTGCTGAGACCAGCTTGGTTTTGGTCCAGCCTAAATGCCTCACTGTTAGAGTAGAGATCCTGCCTTGTGCAGGTACTGGGAGTGGTCCTTGGATTCATCTGTAGGATCTGGGATGTGTCACTTATGTTCCCTTAGCAGCTGTGACACCTCCAGTGCACCTTCTGAGGGTGAGTGTGTCTCTTGAACACACCCTTAGGACTCTCTGGGCTGTGATGTGAGCAAGGAAATCACTTCTGTGGGATGAATCCACTCCTCACAAACCCAAAGCCTCTGGCATCACGGAGAGCTTTGGTGTCTGCAGCTCATTTCAGCCTCACCTTCAGCTGATGTGGAGTGCTCAAGGGATCCATGGCTTTGGAAAGGCACCTGAGTATTCCAAACTGCTGTAAAGGGCTTGTTCAGGAGTAAATGTTCCCAGTTCTGCTGAGACCTCTGTTCCCTGTTTTCATGCTTGACTTCTGGAGCTGGGCTCAGCTCAGAGTTGAAGGAACTGTTTGCACGGATTGCTGCTCACAGCTCGGCCTAATGCACCTGCTGGGGTGCATTAGGGGTCTGTTTTCCTGGTTTTCTTGAGAACAAGATTGCTCCTGAGCTCTCTGCTGGATTTTTCACAGCAGAACCCTCTGCCTGAGCTGTCCTTGGGCACTGAGAGCGGCAGAGCCCCGTGCAGGAGGCTCAGAGCTCGTCTCAAGGATAAGAACCCAGAGACACCCTGTGCCCACTGCTGGTGGCACCTCCTGACCCAGTCCCTGGGAAGGAAAATCAACCTTCAGATAACTTATCAGCCTTAATAACCAAAAGCAGGGGTGTCTGTTCCCTTCCTGAAGTTATAGGAATAACTGTCCAGGGGCTAATAAAAGTGTAAGGCTGGAGCTGTGGTCTCCCTCTGCTTTCCGTGGCAGCAGGCCAAGCGTGAGGCTCAAATTGCTGTTGCACTCTTAACCCTGACTCAGCTTTGTGTGCCTTAATCCCTGGGGCTGCAGGGGAGGGTTTGGGAAGAGTGTCCTGCCTAAAACAGCATCTTCCTGTGAGCCAGGGGCACTTCCCTGCTCAGCTGAGGGGCTGTTCTCTGCTGAGAACACAACATTCCCAGCTGGAATACCAGCCAGGGACTCTGCAGAGCTGCTCAGAGGCTGAGGTTACAGACAGAGCCACAGCAGGAGTGCAGATCCCTCAGTGGATTTCCATGCTGCTGGAATGGGTGCTGAACCAGGAGTTTCCCAGCTGGATGTCACCGATTCCCATTTTGACAGGACAAGAGGAAACAGCCTCAAGTTGTGCCAGGGAATATTTAGATCCTAACTGGATGTTGGGGAAAAAATTCTTCACTGAAAGGGTGGTGAGGTGTTGGAACAGGGTGTTCAGGGCAATGGTGGAGTTCCCATCCCTGGAAGTGTTGAAAAAACTTGGGGATGTGGCACTTCAGGACATGGTTTAGTGGTGGATGTGGTGGTGCTGGATTAGTGGTTGGACTTGATGATCTTGGAGGGCTTTTCCAGCCTCAGTGATTCAGTGATTCCATGACACTCCCAAAGTGCCTGAATGTCACCCACAAGACAAACAAGGCAGGATTCAGGGATATTTCTGTTTTGGAGTCACCACGTGGCCCTTCCAAGGCCCAGTTTCCTGTAACTGAGATGAGTTTTAGGGCTCAGAGGGGACTGTACCACACTCCTGTACCTCTGTGGGCCAGGACAGAGAACATTCCTGAGCCTGGGTACCTCCCTCTGCTGAAGAACCATGTCTCATTCCCCACCAAGCTGAGCTCGTCCTCCCTCAGCCTCGGGAAGAGGAGCCAGGCAGTGGAAGTGGCTCTTGGAAGAGAATCACTGAAGCTGTCCAATGTCCTTTGAAATGCTTGGAACCACTGCAGTGCCTCAGACAACCCTCAGATCCTGAAATGTCTCTGGAAATCCTGTTGGCAGCAGCCCGATTCCTGAAGCTCATGTGCCATTTCTGCCTCAGTGCTGACTTGGAAGCAGGAGCCAAGGAATCCCACCAGGATAAAAGCAGCCTGGGAGGAGATGAGTGATCCTTCACTGCTGACAGGGAAGGCTCCTTGTGGGAGAAGAGAAACTCCAGACCTGTGCAGTGATCCCACAAGTACAGGTGGGATCACTCTGGATGTGTCTGTGCCTCTTCCCAGGTTCCTTTGAAGTCTCTGATCAGGACATGAGCTTTGCCTGTGGCTGGATGTGACCCCTGGGATCCTTTCTGAGGGGGTCTGGACCTGGAGCTGGCCACAACCCAGCTCCTGACCAGTGTGAGCACTGGTTCCCTGTGCCTTTGCAGCAGGAATTCACTGTGAATTCCTGTGAATTCAGGAATCTGAGCTGTGACTTGGGATTATCTGCACCTTCCTAAACTGTCCCTGCTCCTCTGGATTCTATGGGAATCCAGCATGGTTGAGGTCCTAAAACAGCCCAAAACATTGGGAAAAGGAGATGTATTTTTGAAGGATTTTAATGACTTCTAAGTGCTAAACTCCCTTCTTTTCTTGAAGGCTTTGAGGTGTGGTGTTAAAGTGCTTGTCACATATGGGGTGTCAAATACGTTTATGGTCGTTAGGAACCTGTGTTTGGGCTGGGCTTGTACAAGAAAAAAGTACCAATCTTTTGGGTCCAGAGCAAGACTTGGTGCTCATAAATAATCCAGAGTCCTTGGAAATGTCCAGTGGGATTCTGGTTCCCTGCTCATCTCTTGACAAAGTTGAAAGGAAGCTGTGGGCCATGTAAAATAACCTGTGCAAATCTTTCCTCCAGGTCATATTCAAAGTGAAATGTGCAGCTGAATTCAACAAGTACAAGTAAGTGCTGCTGTCCTGGCCTTCCCTTCAGAGCTGGTCCCAGGGGAACTGGCTGGGAATGGGAGGGTCAGGCCCCAAAAGCTGAGCAGAGCTCTAATTCCATACCTGTGCTCTGAGAAAGGAGCAGAGTTGGACCTTGGAGCAGGACTGGGAATTTCAGGGGAGCTCAAGCATCCCAGTTTTCCTGGGTGGACTCTTAGGGTCACTCTGAGCTGTCCCAGGGAAGATGTGCAGAACAAGGCTGGAGCAATGGGTGAGCCCCAGGTCTGAGCAGCCCAGGTGCTTCCCAGGGAAACCCAGGGTGGAAAATGCAAGCTCCAGTGGCTCTCAATAAAGGAGTTGCAGTGGTTGTGATGACTCATGGCTTATTGACTGGAGTTAATGCAGAGCTGGAGCAACACTTAAAATCTGCAAGATAAGAACCTGACTGTCAGAAGATGAGTCTTGTAACTCATGACTGCTTACGCTGCTCATGTGTTGAGAGCAGCTCCAACAAATCCTCTGCAGCCTTGGGCTGCCGGGACAACCCCTGAAATTTGCAGGAATGCCAGAGTTTCCCAGCAAGCAGAGCACTGGGAGGGTCTGCTGAGACAGGAGTGACGTGCACAATGAACCTGGCCTTGTCTCCCTGACCATTTTTCCCCTCACCATCTCTCCAGGGTTGTGTTGTACCTGGGCTCCATCCTCACCAGCCTCCTGTTCCTCGTTGTGAATTTAACCTGTGCGATGCTGATCCACGGCGAGGTCCCCGAGAAGCAGCTGAGGTGGACGGTCCTGGCCCGGGCTCTGGTCAATGACAGCCTCTTCATCCTCTGTGCCATCTCCCTGGCCTGCTGCATGTGCAAACTGGGAAAGATGTCTTCAGCCAACGTCTACCTCGAGTCCAAGGTGGGTAAATTCCTTGGGAATTCCCACTGGGACCGCTCAGCTGGAGCTGGGTGTGCTCATTGGCCTGGTGGCACCTGAGCTGCTCTTGCTCAAATTCTCCTTCCGGTGGGGAGGTGGCAGCTCTTGGATTCCCCCCCTTTCACAAAGTGCACGCTCCTGCTGTGGGAGTGACGTTTCCTGCATGTTTTAGGGGAATAACTTGTCCGCAGATTTGGCATAATAGATTTGTGAGCTGCTTCTGCTTTTCAGGCACAGAAAATCCCAGGTTTGCCTTGATGAGAGGGCTCTCTGAGAGCAGCAGATGCAGTTTTTGCTGTGTGTTTTTTACCTGTGGCAGGTGTGTCATGACTCCCTTCAAAGGGGATCCCCCAGAAATCCAGTTTTAGCTGGACTCTGCTTGGGTAGGATGAGATGAGCATTTTGGAATGGGAGGAGAAGTTGCTGTAGGTCCTGTCCCAAAGCAGGACAGGCAAGGGAATGAACACACATTCTTTTCCAGCAGATAGGGAAGTGGAAAAGCCACCAGCAGTGCGGCAGGAGGCTGCACTCAGTGTCCACTTGAGTGCCTGCAAACATCTAGAGGAAAAACCAGAGCACCTGAGCATAGCCAGTTGAAGCTGAGGCTTTCTGCAGGAGATGTCTGTCTCCCTAAGCAGCAGAGGGCTTTGGTGGCTTCCCAGAATCCAGGATTTGTGGGCTGGGTCTGGTGTCCTGCCTGGCTCCTGTGACAGCTGTCCAGAGGCTGCAGGTTACATCCAGACCTGCAGTGAGGCAGGGGCAGAGAAGCTGCTCACATCCCTGCTGGCCTGGGTCCTGGTGTCCAGCTCTGACTGGCTCTGGACACTCATTAACTCACCCAGTTCCCCCAGTGCAGGAACTTCCTCTCCTCACATGCCTGAGGCTGCTCCTGGGCTGGGTACAACCTGCTCCAGGGAAGCCTCTGGATACTCACCCTGACTGTCTGCTCAGGGTCTCTGCCTCCCTCCCCTGCCTTGGGGGCATCCCCTGGTGTTGTGTGTGGGGAATTGCTGCAGAAACAGGGTGGGGATGAGCAGGAATGTTAGCCAGGTGCCCCAGAAGGTTGTCCTGGCCCTGAACTCAAAGCCACACAGAAGAAGATGGGAACGTTGGAGCTGTGGGAAGGAGGCTGGACTGCAGCCAGCTCCTGTCCTGTGGTCCTTGTGAGCTGGAGATTTGCTTCAGCAGCCTTTGTGCCTCACTGTGCTGGCCTGAGCACCACAGGCTCAGCTTCCAGTGACAGCAGGATGTGTGCTGGGCTTCAGTGCTGTCACTTGTCTGTTGTCACCTCTCTCAGGACACTGTCCTGAGCTCCAAATCCAGGAAAATAGAGCTGGAATGTGGAGCAGGCCAGTGGGATGATCTTCCCCAGCAGATTCTCTGCTTAAACACAAAAACACAGCTCAGGTGCTGGGGGGTGTTTGCCCCCTCACTGTGACTTGGTGCCTCCCAGCAGCTACTAAAGGGATTCATGGGTGAATTTAACAAAACCTGGTTTGTCCCTTCATTCCTGAGTGGTTTGATTTGGAAAGGATCTTAAATCCCATCCAGTTCCAATGGGAACTGCCCTGCCATGGGCTACCTTTAACTAGATCAGGTTGCTCCAAGCCCCATCCAGCCTTGGACACTTCCAGGGAACCAGGGACAGCCACAGCTTCTCTGGGCACCCTGGGCCAGAGAAGACCAAGAATTTACTCCCAAAATCCCATCTGACCCTGCCTTCTGTCTGAAGCCATTCCCTTGACCTGTCCCTCAAGGCCATTGTAAATGTTCTCTCTCTCCATCTTTCCTGTGGGCTCCCTTCAGCTACTGGGGTTCAAGCTCTGGGTCTTTCTGGCCACCCCAAATATTTGAGCTTCTTTCCTAGACAAACACTGTGTGCAGTGTTGGGGTGCAGCAGAGGCTGGGTGAACACCTCTGCAGAGTCTGGGCTGTAAAGCAGAAGTTGATTTTCCTGCTGCTTGGTTGTTGGCATTGTGGAGATCCCCAGAGGAGAGCAGGGGGTGGAACAGCATCTCCCTGGGCCCCCAGCTCGGACCTGGCTGATAAAATCCTGCCAGGGACACTCCAGTGCCTCAGATCCTTCCCTGCTCCCAGGCAGCTCTGGCTGTGTGGCTCCTGCAATGAACTCATCACATGAGAAAGCTCTTACCCAGCTCTGAATATTTTAGCAACAACATACAAATGTTCTGGGTCATTCTTGCCTGCACAGCTGCTCGTGCATTTAAGGGAACAGGGAAGAACATCACAGCTCTGTATTAAAACCCTTTTTATTTCTTGCTGTCCTAGGGAACATCTGTCTGTCAGGCTATTCTGGTGGGATCTGTAGTGGCCCTCCTGTATTCCTCAAGGGCTTGCTATAACCTGGTAGCTGTGGCCATATCTCCAGACAATGTTCCTGGTCCTTTCAACTATGGCTGGGACAACCTTTCAGACAAGGTGAGTGTGTGACCCCCAATCCAGAGCCGGTGAAGTGAAATGCAGTCACTCCTGTGAGGGTGACCAGGGGGCTCTGGGGGGTGTCTGGGTAGCTGAACCCCCACATGAGCTGCCTTTCTGCTCTGCTTGCTCTTTCCACCCAGCAAACCTGAGTCCTTCTCTCCCCAGCCACTTCTTCAGGAAGGATTCCCTGTTGTGCCCTTCCATTTCAGCCTGCCAACTCTTCTTTTGAGGGAGAGGAGGGACAACTCAACTAGAGCAGAACAGCAATGCTTAATCAGGCGTGGCTGTGTGTGAGGGAGAGTTGCTGGTGTGGGCAGGGAGCTCCCAGTGGCCTGGTAGCACCCTCTGAGCAGAACCAGCTCACCCAAACCAGCCAGGTGAAGGTCACTGTGCTGGGTTAGGGACTCCTGCCTTTGGAAAGGTTCCTCTGCACCCCCAGTTGCAGCTTTTGGGAGCTCTGTGGGTGGCTGGGAAGACACAGACCCCTCTGCCTTGTGCCCACAGGTGCACGTGGAGGTGAGCAGCGAGGAGTACGTGGTGTTTGGAGTGGTCCTGTTCCTCTGGGAGCTGGTGCCAACCACTTTTGTGGTGCTGTTCTTCCGTGCTCAGAGACTGAGCCAGAACCTGGTAGGCCTGAGCAACCCCCCCTGTGCTGGGAGGATGCCTGGGGTGACTTTTGGGAGCGTTTTGCTTCTGGCCTAACTCCTTTCTCCTTGGCAGACTCCAGCTGGGATGGTCAACAGCCACAGCTACAGCTCCAGGGCCTATTTCTTTGACAATCCCAGGCGCTACGACAGCGATGATGACTTGTCACGGCTCGGGGCCAGGGAAGGAGGGTAAGGAAGGGTTGTGCTGCTGCTCTGCTGCCCTCTGGGGAAGCAACAGAGCTCCTGGCTTCTCCTCCTAGGAAAAACTTTGATGGAAGAGGCAGCTTGGGCAAGATAGATGGGGCAGGCAGCCTCTGGCAGAGCTTTTGTTCCCTTGTGCAGCTCACAAGGAGCTGTTTCTGTTGGGGAGAAGTGACCAGCTCACAGAGGTGGATGTGGATGGTGCTCACAGGTGGTGATTGCAGAGAGGAGACCTCGTCCAGGAGGGCTGGGATCCATTTCAGAGGGCTCTGAAATGATCTCCAGAGGGGTTTCTCCACTGGGAAGTGAGAGCTGGTGAAGTCCTGGGAGGGAGCTGGGACAAAGCTCTGCAGAAGTGCTGGTGTGGGGGAGAACAGTCAGGTATCCCCAGCAAAACTCCTTTGAGGCATCCTGGCAGCCCTGTCATCGTGGAACCATGGAATGGTTTGGGCTGGAAGAGACCTTAAAGACCATCCAGTTCCACCCCCTGCCGTGGGCAGGGACACCCTCCACTGCACCGGGTTGCTCCAAGCCCTGTCCAGCCTGGCCTGGAACAATTTACTTCCGTTCCACTTCACTTCCAAGTCCCTCACTTGCTGCCCAGGGGTGCAGTGAGCACTTCAGAGGTTCTGGCTCCTCTTGACCAGTGCTGTGGGGCCTGGTGCTCTTCTCCTTGTAGCTGTCTCATCAAAGCCAAGTTCCTTGGGGATACCGTACCTCCAAACTTCAGCACCCTGACCAGTGCTGGGAGCAGAAGTCTGGAGGAGCCAAGTTATTCATCCCTAGAAAGTCCTTGCCTGTTTTTTTCTGCCTCTCCTTCAGCTTGGCCACCCCTCAGTCTGTGTTTTCTGTCTCTCCTGCAGCTTGGCCACCCCTCAGTGCTCGGGCTTCTACGGCTCTCTGGCTGGCACCGACAGCGGGAGCGCCGCGGACAGCGCGCCCTTGCTCTGCGCCGCTGGCGGCTCGGAGACCAACCAGCACCACCACAGCTCCCACCCTGCCCCACAGAACTGAGGAGGCTCCCTCTCTTCCCAGAGTGGCACTCGTGTATAGGATTGTAACCTGGTTTTCCTCTTTTCCTCCTCTCCCCCTGAAGCATCTAACTCATGACACAAACATTCCACTACCTGCCGCAGCTGCGCGCGGGACTGAGCCCAGGGCTGCAGGCAGTTAAGTCAGAGAACTGTGACTTTAAGGTACCATGTAGCAAAGTGAAGCTGAACTCTCTGGAAGCTTTTTTTTTTCCCTTGGTCTGGTCTTCAAGATGTTGGCAGCTAAATGCACCAGAGCTTCCTCACTAGAAAAGAAACATCAAATGCATATTTGCACTTTTATCTGCACACTTGGAAGGAACGAATCTTGCTCGGGCTGTGTTTGGCCTGAGACTGTTCTAGTTACTCTTTTAATTGCACATCCAGAGCTGGGAGAGGCACCGTCTTCCTGCAAAGACGTGTTCCCTGAAGGACTCTGCATCCTGCCTCCCTGGGAGTGGGGAGCTCTGTCCAGGCAGGGCCCCCGGCGCTGGATGCTCGAGTTTACTGTGCCATATTCCCACCTGGCAGGGCTGGGTGAAGCCTCGGGGCTCGGGAGGGGTCTTGCTCTGCCTGCTGCTCCCACCTGGCTGCTGCCCTGTCCTGCCTGGGTGAGGTCAGTGTTCCTGCTGGCCTTGTGGCAGAGGGACAGGGAGAGGCTGGAGCTGGCTCAGCAGGAGTGTGTGTGCAGGACCGTGTGTGAATCCAGGGCTGCTGCACCCCCTGGGTGCTGGGAGCGGCCCTGCTCCCCCTCCTTGCCCACAGTGGGGCTCCCCTCCTCCCCCTCAGTATTAAATTGCATTTAGCAGATAACCAAGAGTTTTAACCTGAAGTGAATGTGAACTGCTGGGTCCCCACTGAGGTGCAGGGGGCTGCCTGTGGAACGTTGCTGTTGCAGAGGGAAGGGGCAGAAAGCGCAGGGATCTGATCCTTGGGCTCCTTGCTCTGCCCTCCCCGTGGAGCTGGGGCCTCCCAGAGCTGTGGAGTGCATAGGGTGGGAGTGCTGGGTCAGGCTGGGACAGGTCCCTCTCTCTTTCCTTAACCAAAATAGCCAAGTTTGACCTGGCCTGGGCTCTTTGGAGATGAGGCTTGGTGTTATTCCTGGCTTGTCCCTGAGCCAGCTGTGGGGATGAGCAGAGCAGTTTTGGATAAAGGCACCGGTGCACGGAGGGAGCTGCTCTGACCGTGGGGCAAATCCACCTGGGGCTGGTTTTAACCTGCCTCGTGCTGCTCCAGCCCCGGTGTGACACTGGGGGACAGCGACTGCTGTGCTGGGACAACAGCCTGGGAGCTGGAGGGGCCCTTTCTGTGAGAGAAACCCCAGCCCTGGGGCATCCTCACCCCTGGGGCTGTGCTCAGCTCGGGGTCACTTGTCCCACTGCCCCCACCCTGTCCCTGTGCTCACCTCCTGCACTCCCTGCTGGCCCTAAAAGGGAGCAAGTCCTGCTTGTTTTGGAGAAGGCAAAGATGGCAACTCTCAGCACACACCTTGCTCGAGTCCCCAACCCAGAGCTCCACCCTGGCTGCTCCCCTGTCTCCTGGCAGGAACAGGCTGCTCCATCTCAATCCCTGCTTGGCTTATGGCAAAGCTGCTGAAGGGCCAGGCACTGTCACCCTTCCTTCTGCTCCCATAAGTCTCCAAAGACAGCAAGTGACACTCGTGGCCCCTGTTCTTGCTTAAATTCCAAAGCACTAGGAGCACTTTAAGTTTTACTTTGGAGGGAAAGGAGTGTAGTGCAAAAAAAAAAAAAAAATTTAAAAAAAATTAAAAAAAATTACAAAATCCAAGGGCTACAGGCTCATTGTTCCTCTTGCACTGAAGCACACACCCACACTACGATCTTCCTGGATTATTTGGGATGGCAGGTCAGGGCAGTGAGCCTCGTTGCTGATGGACCCCTGAGCGACTGGCCAAGCGTTTGGGTTTTACTCCTTTGTCCGGTGGATTCCGAACCGACCGCTCCTCCCGGGGCTGGTCCCGTGTTTTACTGAAGACATTTATAGCTGACAAGTTACAAGGACTTTTTTAATGCATAGTTGCCTTTCATTAAACTTTCTTTTGGGTTTTTTTGTTTTGATTTTGGGATTTTTTTGGTATGGTTTAACAGTGTTCTGGCTTTGCAGGCGGGCAGCAGCTGCTGCCCCAGGAGCTGTGGCCAATGAATGTACCTATTTGTTCTTCACTAAACTGTAACCAAGCACTACTCTGTTGAAATAAATTTTAAAATAAAAGGACTTTCTGTGCTGGGATGGCTCCCAGGGTGACCCAGCCAGCTCCAGGTGTGGACCTGTGGTCCTCTGTGCCCTACCAGGACCTGGCACATCCCATTCCTCTGCTGCCACGGGGCTGGGAGCTCTGGGCTGGGGGTGGCACAGGGGCTTTATCCTCTGCTGTGTCTCTGGCTGCAGCCCCGAGGGCTGGAGCTGTGCCAGGGCAGTTGGATCTCAGGGAAAGACTCTTGGTGACAGAATCCAGAGCTCCAGGAGCGTTTGGACAGCACTGCCGGGGATGTGCAGGGTGGGATTGTTGGGGGGTCTGTGCAGGGCCTGGAGCTGGACTCAGTGACCCTTGTGGACCCCTCCCAGCTCAGCTGGGATTCTGTGTCTCCATCTAGTGAGGTTCCATGTGCTCAAACCAGCTCCCAGGGCTGCTCAAGACACTTCTGGCTGTGCTTTGTCCTCTCCCAGCAGCACAGAGCTGCACACACCTCCAGACCTGGAGCTTCCTTTATTCCTTTCCCAGGTTTATCCACATCCACACGGCCTTGAGCTAAACATGCTGCCTCTTCCTGCTCTTCCCATGTTTTAGGGTGGAAAGCAGAGGGGTTTCCACACAGATCCAGGCTTGGGGTGGGTTTCCAGCAGCACTGTCCACACCCAAGCCTGTCCTTTGTCCCTGCTGCAGTGTTGGATGGTGGATGGGGCAGAGGGTCTCACCCCAGGGGTTGTGCCCAGGCCAGAAGGGACCCTCTGCCCTTTCCCAAAAGCTCTGCCCCGTGCTGGGCACATCCTTTCCCACCTCAGCATCTTCCCAGCCTCCAGCAGGTGCAAGGAACAGCAGGAACTGTCTGTTCCCACAAGAAGAGGAAATCTGAAGTAGAGGAATTCACCCCAAGCTCCTACAATCACTTGAAGTTGTTTTTTTGTGCAGCAGAAGTTGGTGTAGACACACTGTGAGTGAGGGGCTGGTTGGAATGATGGAGCAGACAAGGAATTTCCCCCCAGTTTATTCTTTGGCACAGTTCTTGCCCTACCTCCAGCTTCCAGAGGCAAGGCCATGGGTCTGATCCATCCAAATAGCACAGCAATATTTCAAAGAGTTATTCCAAATGATCTTCCAATATATAAAATAAAATTTGCATATAGTCCCCACTTTTATACAAAAAAAAAAATATAGCTTTTTTTTTTTCCCCTTGTACAAAATATCTCCTCAGCAGGTTACAGACAATCATGGGACAGGAGCCCCAGCAAGTGGTTTCCATGGTTTAAATCAGAGTGGTGGAATGATGGTGTTTATCCTCAAGTCTCTCTTTCTCCACTGAATTCACTGCATGTTTTTTAAGATATTCCTGAAGTTTTCCAGTTCTTTCACGCTGGTTGAAACCCTGTGTGCAAGGAAAGCAAAAGGGAAACGTTCCAGCAACATTGATGCAGTGAATTATTTAAAATCTGGGAGAAAGGGGCTGTATCAAGCAAAGCTTCAAGCAGCTCTTGGGAAGAGAAGATTTGGGATTCCAGCTAAATTAGGTTGAGGTTACAACCAGGCCCTTCACTAATTCCCCTGCCTCTTTTTAAAGCAAACACTGGGAATCACAGTGGAATAGGATGTTAAGGAATTCATCCTTGGAAAAACCTGTTTGCCAGAAACTCCTGGTCCCTCAAGATCACAAAGAGCTCGTATATAACCAGAGTGTCCTGAAATCCCCTCCTAAAGGCCTCGTTATCCTCCTTTTCTGACAAAAACTCCTCATCCAGAGAGGCTGGACTGATGGATCCCTGTTAAATTCAGTCATGATCTGGGAATGAACTGCTGGAGAGGCCTAAGGAAAGCAGCCCTTGCCAGGGACAATGTGCTCCCAGAGTCACACAGTCCCTTCAAAATGATGAAATCCTTTGTATCTTAGCATAAATGCTTCCCTGAATTCCTTACAGAAAGATAGAGTACAAAGAATATTTTAAATCATTCCAACTGTTGTACTCCATACCAACACCTGGTACCAGACTATGCCAAGAGTAAGAGTCCCCAGCAAAACTGCTGAGAACTGACTGAAATTAGAGCTGAAACTGGATGTAACACAGCAGCTCATGCAAAATCAGAGGGGAAAAGTCTCAAACTCACCTTCCAAAGGCATTAAATAAGGCCACAATTTCTTGTCTGGTCAGCTGGAATCCATAGGAAGGGCCGCTCTCGGGAATCTTTTCGATGAGGTTCTCTGAGAAGAGGATCTTCAGCGCTGTGCCCAGGCCCTGTGTCTGTGCAGGGATCAAAGAGGATCCTTCAACAGCAGCATTCAACCCTCCCTCCACCTGGGCAACATCATCTAAACAGGGCAAGAGGAATTCACTTAACCCAGGCTCTGCACCCCTCCCCTCCCCTGGGTTATCCCACTTTCCCAGGCTGAGCAAGCTGGAATCAGCTGCCTCCTGCTGCCTGCACAGGTAAGGAATCAGCAGCCCTGAGCTGTATCCAGGAGCTGATTGGTATCCAAGGACCACATCCACACCAGTCCCAGCACCAGAGCTCCCAGACACTGCTGACAAATCTCACCTGCAACTTCCCCCACAGCCGACACTTGATGCAGCCAACACAGTCCATGATCTTGGAAATATTCTTAAAGTGCAGCCTGAATTCCTCCTGGGGGAAAAGACATTCATGTTGGTCATGGTGATGCACTAATTAGGGCTCCTTCCAGGAATTAATCTGAATTAATCCTGGAATTCAGTGGGACTGAGGTAGGGAAAAGCCTCCTGCAGTGGGGTCCTTGGCAGAATTTACCTTTAGTTTATCAGCTTCCTTTTTGTTCCCTGCAAAGAAGGAGTTTTCATCGAAATGCAGAGG